ATGGACCTTAGCGCTACGTTGATTACGCATTATTGCTGTCTTTATCCGCTCGTCCTGTTGTTACCTCATTTTATGCATTAAAAATAATTCCACATCCATTCATTTATACCTTAAAACATATCATGGATAAGGAACTGGCTATTAGAATATTTTTATTATATTATTTTATGTTATATATTTATATTATTATTTTAATCAGTTAACGAAGTATTAGCATACATATTATTAGAAAAAGATACGGAAGAAAGGTTAGAAGCTGTATATAATAATAGATGTACTAATATTACTGAAATTATTCTTCAAGGTGTAAGTTAAACTTTTTGGCAAAATTACCATGGTTAATAGTAATACAACGTGGTTTAATGTAATAGTAGGATATATTAATAGAGTTCAAGCTTCCAACCCTTCAAACCCGCCGCCGCCAGATCAATACGTACGCGACCGCCATTATCACCCGTATACAGTGGTTTAAATATTTTAAAATTTTCATTGAGCGATGCAAACAGATGTCTATTTTATCCTTTAATAATTGTCCTTTAAGTGATGGCAGTAATGACAATACGGTGGCGATTTGTATGCCGTGCGAGTTATATACATTGAGGTAAATAAGCAAGCCGCCACCTGTACATTATACCTTTTCCATATCCCCGTAAGATACAATTCATGCCATTGATGTTATGAATATTATCATTAATAACACACTGTATACACCTCTTTAAAATGTAGTAACTCAATTAATTTAGTCTTTCCCGACACATATCGCTCGCTAGTTCATCTGAATTTAAAAGTTTCTGCTTAGTATTTTATTTTTCTTATACCAGTTTAGACTAACAAAATAATGTTTTCATTTATTATTTCTCTACAACCTTGTTGTGGCGTCATTACTAAGATGATGATGACATCATTTGTCTCTATTGATTTAGAAATCATCTACGGACCATTGTGGTAAATGTCTCCCTCTGTAAGCGTATTCATCTGATATTATTTGTACACGCAGCTGCAAATTAATTAGTTATCCTAATGATCGTAATATGACGCTAAATATACATGTGTTTAAATTTTTCGAATTTAATTTATAATATGTTATGTTCAAACTCTGGTTAAATAGGTAAGAATAACCATAGCACAGCATACGGCGGGGTGGCCTAGTGGTAGATCAAACCTCACGGGGGTAGATAAGTCCGGGTTCGATACCCAATCAGTTATTTTGCAGTTTTTCCACGACAACGGAAATAATTTGATAAAATATGATAAGTGATAACAAATGATAACTGATTAGAATAACATAAAATATGATAAGTGATAACGTTGATATGATAACTGATAACAATTGATAACTGATTAGAATAACAGCGGTATACGTATGTCACACACGTACGCGATCGGATTTCGTGGTGGGGGCAAAACCGATGGCGGGATGAGTGGTGGGATGAGCGGTGGCGGGTCAGGTAATATACATCACGTACGAAGCGGATCGGGCGGCGATGGAATGAGGATGAATGATGAGGGGGTGAGGGTGAGGGATGAGGTTCTTGAACTCTCTTTTTTATACTACTGATAATGAACGAGATGACGCGAATAACGAACCAAGTTCTAATACTACGTTAAACGTGCAAAATAATCAGTGCCGTCGCTATATTTTGCGAGGCCCTAGGGAAAAATAAGTTATTTTTTGGTGTTAAGTGTATAATTTTTCACGATTTACATTAATATTTTTGATTATACATAATGTTATAAATATTACTTACTAAAAAAAGATCAACTCAAAAATATGTGATAAATTTATTTTACTTGTAATACAAAAATCATAAAAAAATCTTAATTTTATCAAAACTCAAAACATTCAAACATAATATTATATAGAAAACAAGAGTATAAAACTAATATACTTATACATTTTACACAACTTTTGAAATTATAATTTTATTATTTCAATATTTGTGTATTAATTAAAACGTTTTATTCTACTTTTTTTACTAGCAAATTCATCAATCAATGAATTATATTCTTCAGATACTGCTAATTTGTGTTCTATTGAGATAGTTGCCAATGAATTTAATCTGTTTTGAGACATCGTACTTCTTAAGTATGTTTTAATAAGCTTTAATTTAGAAAAGGATCTTTCTACCCCAGCGGAAGTAACGGGGATAGTCAAAAGAATTCGAAGAGCAATGGAAATGTTTTGAAAACTACCAGGTGATTTCTTTATCAACGTTAACGCTTGAAGAACTGTTGTATTATCATCAATAATATTTCGAAATATAATTAATTCTGAATACATATCAACTGAATCTAAATCTCTTGATGATCCATCAGTTAATAGAATTTGAAGATCCTTACAATGTTTCATTAGTAATTCGTCGTCCATATATTTTAATTTTCTAATATTATATAAAAAGCCAAAATTATTTTTGTACCAAGTAAATTGAGTAAATCGTTCTCTCATTGAAGAAATTGCGTGATCAATAAGTACATAAAAATAATCAAATTTAAATACTAATTCAGCGTCATTAGTATTTTTGTCCTTTGTTTCTTCATATTCAAAAAAGGTCTTGGTTTTTCTTACTCTTTTTATTTTGAAAGTACACTCAATATTTATCGACAATGCAATTTCCCTAGCAGTTTTTTTCGCTTTTTCAAAACCATTTTCTCTATAATTTTCTAAAAAAGTCATTAATCCATCTAATAATTTCGTGCCTATTTCCAAATCTATATTCTCACTTTGTAAATGCTTACTAACTATGTTTACTTCCACAAGTATTTCGTACCAAATCACTAAACTCAAAATAAATTCATAACTTTCGAGTTCGTTTACAACAAGGGAATGTGCTTCATATTTAGTTTTTGGGTCATTTGTTGTTTCCGAAACTTCTTCTAATGCTTCAATTACTTCTGAAATTTGAAAACGAATAGCTTTGACGCTGTTTACTCGGCATTCCCATCTTGTTTCAGATAATGATTTTAATGTCAAATGTTTACAGTATTTTTTTAAAATGTCCCATCGGCTAGTTGATGATGAAAATACACAATAAATTTTTTGAATCACTCCAAAAAAAACTGATAGCTTTTACAGAACTCTTAGCTATATCACCAAGTAATAAATTCAAATTATGAGTTGCACAAGGTGTAAAAAATGCTCTTGGATTCTTTTGTTTTATACGTGATTGAACGCCTTGATATTCACCTTTCATATTTGCCCCATTGTCATATCCTTGACCTCGGCAATCTCTTAACTCAATTTTGTACTCAGCTAGTTTTGAAATAAGAATATTTGACAAATTTAGCCCAGTGGTTGATGTACAGTGTATAAACTCTAAAAAATATTCTTCTACGCATGGTTCAATAGACTGATTTTCTGTATGTAAATTTACAATTCTCAACATAATGGATACTTGTTCTTTGTGACTTATATCTGGCGTACAATCTATCAACACGGAATAATATTTTGCATTCTGCACCAAACTAATAATTTTTTTTTTTATTTCATTAGCCATTAAATTAACCAATTCATTTTGTATTTCAGGTCCAAGATAGTGGTCAAAAGTCTCTTTACATTTTATTCTACGAACATGTTCAGAAATGATTGGATCGAATTTCTCCATCATTTCAATTAATCCTAAAAATTTCCCATTTTTTTCTGTATACAATTTATCAGATGATCCTCGAAAAGAATCATTATGTTGCGCCAAAAAATGTATAGCTGCTAAAATTCTTTTAAGAACACTTCTCCAATGTAACTTTTCTTTTTCAATTAAAGCTAAATACGCTTTATCTATAACTTGATTAGTTTTTAAACGATATTTTAGGTCATTTCATTTTTTAAGGGCTTCATAATGAATCATAGAATTTTCATGATGCTTTAGACTTGTTGACAAATTTTTCCAATCTTGAATGCCATTAGAAATAAAATTACAATTTTTTAACATAATGGTTAAAAAGCTTACAGCAAAAACAATACACACAATTGTGTCTTTTAGAGTAAATAAGCCACGGACGATTTACATTTTCTCCATTTGGCATTAGTCGATAATAGTATTTTTCAGTGAACGTTCTTGCTGGTTTTTCATCATTTTGGGGAAAATCGTAATTATTAATTTGAATTGGTCCTAAAGTTACAATAGTTGCTATAATATCATTAGAAATAATAGAAGGCCAATAACCAGGATCATCTAATTTACCATTCAATTCACTATTATTCATTTCTATATCTCTCACTTGGTCATTTTCATTCGTCAACATTTTCACTTTTACTTCTGTGAACATATCTACGCTTCTTATAACACTATCAGTTTGATTTTGAACGTTGTCGTTGTGATTAAAAATTTCGTCAGATGTCTGCACTATATCATTTTTACTTCAATTTCTGCAGGATTTTTTATTTCACTAGATGAAACTTGTTGTAGTCGAGAGCAGTTAAAAAACCCTAATTTATCTAATGAGCCTCTTTGTTTTTTAATAAGTTCTTCTCTTTTTTGTTTTTTTAATCTTTTTTGGTAACCTGAAGGGAACGGATCTATACTGATCACAATCTTTACTCGCCTTCTTGCAGTAAAACTATATTGAAAAAAAAGAATAGTCAAAAATCGTTTACTTGGGAAATATTATAGATTTTATTTCATAAATATTAAGCATTAACAATGCCATTGTTTTGTTTTTATGTCATTAAAAAGGCTAATAATATGGCTATAATTATAATACCTATGCCTTAAAAAATATTAAAATATGCACTATAATATGCTTAATAAACAATCACTATAACATGTGATTGTATAGTCGATACTCGACGTACCACGAATAAAATATACTATTTTTTTATAAATACTAAATTCACAATATTTATTAACTACGTATTCGTTAAAGAATCAATTAAGATATGAGATACAATAAACATGATATCTCCCATATTACTGGAATATTTTTATCTATAAGTAGATAATTAAATATAAAACACCTGGCGAGTTGCGGCGTGGTATTGATAAACTTGGTTTATCCGTATATAAAGCAGCGTTTACTTTATAAAAGCGAACGAACAAGTGAAATAGTTTTAAGGTCGGATTGGCATCCGCACTGAACAGTCTTAAGAGGAAGTGATACCCGCATGTGTTGTCTCTGTCTTATACACACGTAACATAGTTTTAAGTGTTTTGCGCGGGACAACATTACTCATTTAACTCAAAAAAAATGTTTAAATATCATTTAATATTAAAAATAAAGGCATAAATATTCCAATATTTTTTAAAATTATTGTTATATTATTATTATAAAATATATATAAAAACCACCAGTAAATAAATAAAATAAAATAAAATAAAAATATTAAAAATACTTGATAATATTATTGCTGCTAATGTTATCAACATAATATATAATTTTTATTAATAATTTAAATAATTTAATATTTACCCTTAATAAGTCTGAACATAAACAAAAATAAGTCCGCAAAGCTGTAGATATTAGTCAGGAGTCGTTAATTTGTTCGATGACAAAAGACAAAATGCCTATTTAGTATTTTATGTCAAAACTTTGTTCAAAATAAATGATAAAAATAAAAGCAGAGGTTCGTCAGAAACAGATAAGCGTCATTTCATTATTATCCATTTAATCAAATCTATTTTAAACGCAGACTATATAGATTTTATGATTATTGACTATAATGTGTATTTAGTATAGGTGTGTTACCGATTAATTTAAAATAATATTTCGTCCCATATCATATAATACTATAGGAACATTTAATTTTATAACTTTTAAATTTTTAAATTTTTTTGGCAACTTAGCGAGGCCCCTAAATATTTTTACTTTCGCGAGGCCCTAGGCAATTGCCTAAGTTGCCTATCCGTTAACGACGGCACTGGTCATAACAATAATATTACAACTATTATATTGCACCTGCTGTCCCATGTCGACACGTCGTGCTGTGTTATACAAAAACGGGAGAGAGCAGGTGCTCTTTGTGTCCCTTTCACATTGTTGTACTCGCATACCCTACAACATTACTTTTCACATTCTAGTTTTCGAACACACTTAGCGAAGTCCGCACGTGTTTGCTGCCCTTAGTATCGTACATTTTTATTATACAATTTAAAAATTGCAACTACAAAAGAATGTAAAAGAAGATGTTTATGATCACTCCCCATTTCTTTGCACAAAGCAGAAAATATTCTCGAGTTTAGTGGACGAGATTTAATATAATTTATAAATTTTACACACTCTTGTATCGTTTCAGTTAAAGACAATGGCATTTTTTTCAGTTACGAAGTTGCGCGAGACGGCACCAATATTCTATTTTTATAAATACAACTCATAATATCAATCACGAATAGGTTGTTGAGATAATATTGTCGAATATTTTACTGAGGTGACATCATGTGAAATTATGAAGTTGCGTGGTGTTGATAAAATCCGGTTTATCCGTATAAAGCAAAGGCCGCTTTATAAAGCGCACTGAACGAATGAAAGAAGACAAGGGATAAGACAAAATTGGCAGGAGAGCAATGTGTCTCAAATTAGGCCAGGTAACATAAAGCAGTAGCTTTATGCGGATAAGACATCATTTAATCAAAAATGCTTCAAATATCATTTGGTCAGGCCAGCAGAATAGTTCAATATTTTTGTACTGTTTATTATTATTATGTGTCATATGAAGAAACCCCCAGTAAATAAGTCAGCCAACAAAATAAAATATTACTGATACGACAGTTACACGTTAATAACATAATATATACCTATTAATAATGAATTATTTTGAGTTGGCCTGGCTGTTCGAACATAAACAAAATGGTGTCCGCAGTTGCGATAGTCGAGTCGCCACCTGCTCGATAAAGACAATGCCGAGATGAGTCAGCCTGTTCTGTAATAATGACAAAATAAAGAGTTCAATGAACAGATAAAGCGCTCGAGTTACGTCTGAGCCATCAGTCTATTTAAACGCAGACCATAGATTTGGCGATTACGATCACGGTTTAGTGCAGGTGTTACCGACACTTCGTCCTATCACATAATACCAGGAACATTAATTTTATATCCTTAGTTTTAAAGTTTTTGGTACGTATAGTTCTGTCATTACACTTGCGTAATGCCTGTTGCTCATTCGTGCCATCTATTGGTCGGTCAAGGGTCGTTAATATTACAACGAGTTATATTCTCGCCAGCCATTGTCGACACGTCGTGCCGTGCCAGTACAAAACGTGAGCAGGCGCTTGTGTCTTTCACATATGGTACGTACTTTGCCAACACATACTTAAAGCGAATTAATTTTCTGTCGTGCCGTTTTAGTATCGCGAGTTATAATACCTTTAAAAATAGTAACACAAAGAATGTAAAGAAGAGTCACTCATTTTCGTTACTGTGCAGAAGTGTTTATTTATGACGAGATTTGTACTTATAATGTTTATTGTACGTTAGCATACATGTTTTCAGAATAATGAATTACAATATTCTTGCGCTACAGCTTTTTATTTGAAACTATGTTTGAATAATTAATAGCCGTATGTACCACGTTATCAATTAATAATATTTCAACTGTCGCCATTTCATTACAGTCTGTTGTATTGGCCATACTTGTTGTGTTAGCCGCAGCTGGCAAGTATTTACAACAATAATTGCAGAAGTATTTCCAAGATCATAGCCTGCTGCACATAGATTGGGGTATTGATTGGTCAATATCAATTGTAAAGAAAATATGCCTTGAGGTTCATTATTGTCTTCGATGGTTGTCGTTTATATCATTACCGTAGCTACTGAGGCCGCTGTTTGGGATTGTTTTTCGTTTTTCATTTGAGATGAAATTGTTGTTTGGCGGTTATTACCGATTGTGTGGGATGCTGTTACCAATTTCGACATTACCATACAAGCTCAGTTTGAGGACCGCGAAACATTGAAGTCACATTTGGCACTTACACCTTCTGTAACATAAGTTTTTCAGATGCTTACTTCAATGCCTTTCAATCTTCGAGCAGTATGTTTTGGCATTTAATAAGCTATTAAGTCACGTTCTTCTATACTGTAACACGTGAGTTCAGGCCTTTTTAAAGAGAATATATCGGACTATCATTTATTAACACAGTTGAACTTGCATTGTTGGTGCTGGAATCGGTACTTATTGACAATCACTTATTCATTGAAAATAAACGTGAGAAATAAGACGACGCATATGGTCATACTTTAATAACTGTCGTATCTAAATCGAACAAATATTGGGGCCATCGCTACAGGCCGAGACGTGGTAATTTATTTAGATACGGAGACGATTAGCGTTGCGGTCACTGTCTATTTGCTCACCATTAATCTCTTTAATATAACCAAAAGTCACATCAGCCTGTTCTTCGCTAAACGATGGTTCTATTTGATTAGTTTACACTGCGTAGTATTTCGTCCAACTTAAAGATAGATTATAGGTATGACTCACCGCAGTTAAGAGAAAATGACATTGGTGGCATCTTCAGCAGAGGTGGTCAAATATTGGTCATAAAATGATATATAGGTTTTAAAACGATAATATCGATAAAATGAAAAGGAGAGTTTTATATTCTGTTTATATATTTTGAGTTATAGTTATCACCATAAACAAATATAGCTAAAGGTTGTTCATTTTACAACATTGTCGTTTTACGTTGAATATGAATTTTTCAACAACAAACATTGCCGCTTGGAGAATTTTTATTGATGATTGAAGAGAGACAACACTGGTTGACACGTCACAGCTCAGCTGGCAACATACGCACGGCTGTTCGTTTTCATTCGTTGTCAGTCGGTTACACAGTGGTCGCCGTCAGGGGACGTCAATATTGGTCGTTTGAATATTCCCGCCACATATTGAAGCCGACAAGAGTACCAGAGTTGAGACTGTAGGCTTAGAAGACGCTGAATCAACAATAATTGAGTCAAAGAAGCGTCATTTATCGCAATGACAAAGCGACAAACATTAGTAGTCGATGTGCTGGTAAATATATTGAAAATAATATGAGAAAATATGTACTGTATGACAGAGACGGTAATGAATTGATGAATAAATGGTCGCCAAAACATTGAGTACATCAGAGATGGCACGAAAGTTGTTGATCGAGATTATGCAGCTCTTATTGGGCTTGTTACTCGATTATTGGCGCGCCAACAACGGCATGACCAAGTCGGTGGCCGAATATCAGCATATACCATAACATCAAGTGGCAAATTTGAACAAGAACACACAAATCCTCGACCGCATCAATGCTTCACGTACACTTCGTGCAAGCAACGGCGTTTTGCATTGATTAATGGTTTCA